TGTCGATACCAGGCGATACCAGTTGCCATACCAGGCGGTGATGCAACCAGTCAGGATGCTCCCGATGGAGCAGCTGTAGAACTTTTTGAGGATCTGAGGACTCAGGATTCCTCCTGAGGGGGAATAGGCTTTGTCGTGCCCTCTTCACGACCGTCTTGGTGTGTTTGGACCATGATCGTTTGTTAGTGATGTGGACACCAAGGAACTTGAAGCTCTCAACCTGTTCCACTACAGCCCCGTCGATGAGAATGGGGGCGTGCTCTGTCCTCTTTTTTTTCCTGTAGTCCACAATCATCTCCTTTGTCTTGATCACGTTGAAGGAGAGGTTGTTATCCTGGCATCACACGGCCAGGTCTCTGACCTACTCCCTATAGGCTGTCTCATCATTGTCGGTGATCAGGCCTACAACTGTTGTGTCGTCGGCAAACTTAATGATGGTGTTGGAGTCGTGTCTGGCCATGCAGTCATGAGTGAACAGGGAGTACAGGAGGGGACTAAGCACGCACCCCTGATGGCAGATGTGTTGTTACCTACCCTTACCACCTGGGGGGCGGCCTGTCAGGAAGTCCAGGATCCACTTGCAGAGGGAGGTGTTTAGTCCCAGGGTCCTTAGCTTAGTGATGAGCTTTGAGGACTCCAGCCACTCACTCTGCTTACACTTTCTACCATTCTTCTTTAACAAACCATCTCCCTTTTTCCCACCATTTTTAACTGACTCAAGCTCACCCTCTTCCTCTCTCTCTTAGACCTCCTCTGCCTCTCTTTTTCCCTCCATTCCTCCTCCGTATTCCAAGTATAACTCTCCTTATGATAGTACTGCACTTCTCCTGACATACATCTAGTTCTTGCCTTGTCTAGGGACGCCATTTAACCTGCTGTCACAATCTCCATACAATCAGCACGAACCCCTCGGGATGTAGCTCTCAATAACTCGCGGCGCTCTGCTCTACATCAATGTCTGCCTCCTTTCGCTGCAGACACCACAGCCGTTTGAATTTCTAGGCCTATTGTCAATAGGCACTAAAGCATTTAGCCTCTGTGGATGGGGTAGCCTACTTCCAATCTATTGCTGAAGACACCCAGGCCTCACAAACAATCTGTACTTGATATAGAACACTTTAATTGACCGGAATTGTGTATGGTTGGCATGGCATCTTTTCTCAGATATAACCATAGAAATATAAGTAATTTGTATTCTTAGTACTAATTATATATTTCTGTGGATTTCACGCAATCGACTACTCTGGCTGTGCTTCTCCGTCGCCGAGGGAAAGCAGAGCTCAGTGAGTGATTACTACTGCCTGAATCAGTCTCGTTTTCATGGAATTAACTGTCAGTCAGTGGAATATCATCTAGCTACAAATCCAACACTTGCTAAACGGTGAGAATATCAGGAGTGGGGGTGGGTTGTAAGACCATGTGTGTGGTGAATTGACGATACATGATTGTATAGTCATTATTTAATAATATGAGGGGACAATTGTTTTGTATATGTTAACGCCAGCTAGCTAGCATAATGACAGTGGGCCGAGGTCCGTTGCTAACTAGCTACAATGTTTGACAGTTAGCCTAGCTAGTTAACTAGTCAATACGCTTAAGCTAGCTTGTTGACACTTGGCTAGCTAGCTAGGTAGCTAAGATATGTGATTGATTTTCACAGAGTCGATATTAAACCAACATGTGACGACTAACGTTACTCTATGTTGGGATGTCACAACGAATGGGACCGTCAAATAATACATTTCCATTTCCTCTGTGAAAATGCGACACTGGCCGTAAATTATGGCCTGCCATAATATATGCTTGTTGTTTGCAGTTACCTAGCTAGCTATATGGCAACAGCTATTCCTGAAAGAGAAGTTAGAAAGTTGTTTACTAGTCGAACGTATTTGGAGCGAATTCTAACGTTAGCTCGTTGCTTGATCAGCTGGCTTGCTTGTTTGTTATGGTCAGCCACACAGGCGGTTATGGACGGTTTCATAGCACATAAGGTAGCTACTGTATAATGCGGATGCGACATAGGCCTGTCACCACCTCATACAATGTGAATCAATACCAACTATGAGATTGCTATACAATAACGTTAGTCTTTATTTTCCAGCTTGATCTTGAATCGAGCTTTAATGTAACCCACCCAATTAGCTAGCTAATAAAAGATTGCTAGCAAAAGTAGCTAGCTACCACTCCCCCTATTTTCAGTAGGCTATTGAATGCAGTTCCTAGAATCAGCCCAGCAGGTTATGATTTAGCTAACGTTAGCTACACCAACAACAGCTGCAGGATAGGAGCTCTCCATGCGGGCCAGATCTTTTATTGTCCTGTTTGTTTTTGTCTTGTGTATTACCTAGTTGTAAAGATGTATGGTCTACTGAAAAAGGTTATCTGAATAGTCAGCTGTAGTTTCACTTCTGTGTGCTACGGCGTTCCTCACCCCCTGTTTACCAATTTGCCCACATAGCCACACATTCATGCTGAAACGCCTCAAAGACCTATTTTGAGCCTTTACACAATTCCTGCCAAGGTAGATTGTTGTGCTGCTGCATCTCATAAGGCTAAGCTGCTTACAGAGACCCTAAGAACCTGTAGTATAGGTCGTTTCTATTTCGCCATATCCCAACAGTTTGACATGGTCTCTACATTAGCTTATTGTGCAAAGTCTATGATTTGAGTATGCTTATAAGCCTAAATGTTAAAAAAATGTGTTACTAAAATGCCATGGTATAGGACACATGAACTGAGCATCATCAAAACCATCAGGAGAAAATACAACTTGCAACATTGTAATAGAGACAGAGAGGCCTGTTAGTTTGCTGCTGTGTGGCAGTCACGCAAAACTAGACTTCTTAGTTCGAGCTGCATTTCTATGCTCACAGTATTGGGGTCAGTTCATAGCAGAACATAGCTGAGGTTAGCCGGTAACAGCTTGCGTTGTTGTTTCTGAAAACCCCACCAAAGCAGCCAAGAGACCAGGAGGTCCTGGGACAGCAGAGGAAGAGAGAGAGAGTGTTCAGTATTTCCCCTGGTTGGTTCCCATAGAGGACAGGCATCCTATCAAAGACTGGCCGTCTAGACTCCGACTCAACCAGCTGCTTTGGACAGCAACTCAAAGAACAGCTCACATTTCTTGGGAAACTTTCTTCCTCGCTCACTGTAAATATTTTTGCTGTCTTTAGCTGCTCTGTCATGCTTACCAAGTGTGTTTCTCCTGCCCTGGGTTAGTGTTCACCTTCCGGGTCCACACCCCTGTTCTCTCTACCGCCGTTTGATCGTCCATGCTGGCCTGGAGCCTGAAGGAGGACATCAGACATAGTGACTAGGCCAACATCTAAGGCTGCTGAAAAACTGATCGAAGAATATCTGCTTTTATGATCTCTGAATTTATTTAACTTAATCTGAGTGTTTGTTTGAGTGCATCAGTTCAGTTAATCTCCACCAGTGTTTGTCTTACTGAGGTGACTGGGGTTGTGCTGTGGTACATCTAACCTCTTAACCTCTACAGCTGACTTCCTGTTATGATTAGGGTTTGTGTTGAGAGTGGATGAAGACTGAGTCTTATCAAAGAGGGTTTTGTATGAAGATGCCTAGAAACTGCTTTTCCAGTAGAAATCCCCGATCACGCTTGTAGTCGATATCATGGCGACGTTAGCTAGCTAAGCTCATTCATGGAAACACGGCATCGGGTCTAATCGGGTTGTGTCGCGCCAAACTGTGCATGTGCATGCAGTCAAATCAAAGGCACTCCTTCGATAGAACGTTTTTTTTTTGACAAAAATGTAAACATGTCAGTTTGTCACTTTCATGAGGTTGGAGTAATAACATGTTCCGTTACTTAAGACATTGGCTCGAATCTAGGTTGTGCCTTTAAAAATCGAGAAAATTAACAACTATGGAAGAATGTTTCACTTCTCTCATTGACTTCCCAAACACCGGTCTGGTCTGTCGAGTCTGCTTTGCAAAGTGTTCCCCGGAGGTATTGCGATGTTGGGCCTCTGGGTTTAGAAACTCTTTGGTCTTATCATCGGTGAGTCTAACATAGGCCTATCTCACTATTTTGTGTTGAGTGGATGGATGAACAGTCATCTTCTATCGCAGTATCTTGCTACAAAACTGTGGTTTAGGCTGTGATGCAGAGTAGCACGTAGCAGCTACAGAAAACATATGTTGGCCAGTGTCAGTCTCACACCTTATGAGTGGAGATAACATCTCTAACTAGACATACTGCAAGTCCATCTAACCAACGTACAGCAGTACTGAGAAACTCTACTGTGGTGTGACGAAAGCTGAAATATCTCTGTGACATTTCATAGAAGACACCTGCAAGCAGGGCTCCCTTGCAGTAAGGGTTGCAAAGCTACCGCTAATTTACCAAAGTTACGTGAATCTTAAGTAAATTTGGTCATTAACAGAATCTATGGAAATCTATTGTAACTTTGGTAATTTATATTTGTATAACTTTTTAAAAAATGTATTCATATATAGTATTAATATATTATTCATGTATTTCTAGTATATAGACCATATGGTTCAAGAGAAAATAGCCTAATTAATGAAAAAAGCATCTGATCAGCAATGGCATTATTTTCAATTAACTCTGCAACTCTTTCAACTATTGAGGCTGTTCTGAGGGCAAAAGAGGTGGGGTGCAACTCAATATTAGGAAGGTGTTCCTAATGTTTGGTATACTCAATGTAGATTTTACATGTGCTAAGGCCACACAGAGGGCCAGAGATTATTACAGATACCTGTGATATTCTGAAGTACCCAAATGGGCGACTAGATGTCTTTACATAAAATCCTTGAAATCCCCTCCCTTTGCAGCCGTACTTGCAATAGGATCACTGTTTTTCATTCTTATCAGTAAATCAGAATTGAATGAAATCAAATTTAATTTGGCGTCATCTCATTCTCCATCTCTCCCTCTTTCCCACCTCTCTCTCCTTCCCCTCTCTTTCTCCTTCTACAGGTGAGTGGCTAGTCCACCACGCCCAGCCTTTATTGCCATGGACGCCTGTGCCCGTATCCGAGGAGTTCCTCTCAGGACCAGAGCCTCCATCAGGAAAGAGGTTAGAGTCAGACTGCCATATTATGATTCATTGATTGACTGATCGATTGATTGAATTCATTTCATTTTTGATAACCTGGTGCTGTGTGTGAGGTTGTGCATGTGTGAAACCTGAGCTAACCTCTAATTGTGTGTATGGTGTAGACGGTGCGTGACAGCGGGCCTCAGTGTGTGAAGAGCCTTCTGAGGAACAGGAAGGAGCTGTGCAGCATGGGACTAGAGCTACAGACCAGAGACACACCACGCCTGACTGAGGTGTATATCACAACACACACACACACACGCTTTGATTATGACTTCATGATTTTGAGGATTTCCCTGACTTGTCCCTTTCTTCCCACAGATCCATTTTGTGTGTTTGCCTGGCCACTCTGAAGGGGAGGATCTAACTCTACAGGTGAGACTTACTGCACCAGCTCTGACTCTTCTGGAGTTCAATGAATGTGTTATTAAAGCAGCACTCAGCAGTAGAAACAATAACAAAGTGTTTCGGTAAAAAGCTGAGAGATGAAACGTAACCACTCTCAAATTCATAGACAGAGTTGTGGATGCAAGGACTGACCATCCATGAAATGAAAATTATAGTTTGAACCATGTTTTGAAGCTATAGTGTTTGTTTACATTTACTTTGTTTACAAACACTGGAGTTAAACAAGCTTATATTTTGGGTTCTGATGGGGGACAGTTGAACTAAGCTCATGAGGCATTTATTTATAAGTTATATTCTTCAAGAGGTACATATAATTCTATAAGTCCAGAAATGTATGTAGCAACTGCTGATTGCCCCTTTAAGTGATGCGTTATTAATGTATTATTTGTGTGATGTTCTGTCCCCGTCCCCAGGCCCTGTCGTCTCTCCCAGGGGACCTGGCGGAGCTGCTGAGGTCTCCCCACGTTACAAGCCTGAGGAACGAAGAGGTGCTGCTACTGAAGGACAGCAGGAGACCAGCCGACAGTAGGGACTCTACTACACAGGTAGACATGAGAGGAGAGGAGGACGTTTTTAATTGGTAAAAGGGTCAAAGACTGTGTTTCTCAGGTCTATAGACTGCTTCAGAGGAAATACAGTATTTCACAGGTAAATAAGAGTTCAATATAGTTTTGAAGCTGATTCATAGGACATTACTCAGGCTGCGCGCAAAGGCCTGAGAGATTCTGTGTTTTCACCCTGTTGAACCTAGCCAGGTGTACAGATGTCTGGGTTAGTGTGGTTGCTCCTTTTCTCACCAGTGATTGCCACATTGTCCTGCCTGGTCCCATGTGTCTGTGCTAGTGTTCAGTCTGGCTCTGCAGCGTTGTGGTTACAGTGTGTGTGACATACAGATATACAGACAGGCAGTGCAACTAAAACTGAGCCTCTCAACCCATGGTGGTCAAGACAGAAGTGACACTGAGTGTTCTATTCTACAAATACAACAACACATCAGACCACAATCAGACATGCAGACATAACAAGGCTGTCCCAGTAGAGCCCCTCTCTCTCTGTAAGACACAGACCGAAGGAAAGAGAACTCCTGTGTGAATTCCTGTGAGTTTCCAAAGCCAAAGACTCAGATGATTAGCGAGTCTTGGCAGGCGCTGACAGTCTGCAGAACTGCTAATTGTCCCTTGGCAGTAAGAATAAACGACTGTACCAGGCAGTCAGCAAACTCGGACTGTTTCTTCTCTCCTACACAGCAGTGCTCGCTAAAAACAGTGTGTGTTCTAAGACACAGCTCCAACCCCAGCCAGGCCATTGTTGGTGTGTTGGTGGGCCTGCTGGGGCGTTATGCTGCGGGGGTCCGCTATGCCCTGGATCTCCAGGCCCTCCACAAGGGCACGGCTGAACCCTGCCAGCCGGAGGACGATGACACCAACCAGTCTGTGTCTTCCATTGAAGACGACTTCGTCACCGCTCTGGAACACCTAGAGGAGGAGGACACTGGAGAGAATAACAACTGTAGGTTCATCACAACTCTATGTAGAGGGATGTTCCATAGAGCATGATGTGTTCACTTATTGTTGCATATCCTGAAGTGTTAACTAAATTAAGACCGAAACATTTACCCCCCACTCTCTATCTCCCTCTCCTCTCTCCCTAGCCGATGGCGCTTATCTCCATGGTAACCAGCGTGATGTGGCCTCCCAGACAGTCCCTGCCCACAAGAGAGACAAGGACCTATCAGGCTCCAGGATCATAATCAGCTCTGCCCACAGGAAGTCCTCAACCAATCGCAGGTCTCCCCCAGAGGTGTCCGTTACCGTACAGTGCTCCAGAGGGGCAGACTCCCAGTGGACCCTCTGCAGCCCTAGAGCCCGGCTCCCCTCCCCCACACGCCCTGTCAGCGAATCAGAGGAGTCGGACGGCTCCAGCCCTAGTCCAATCATCTTCCTAGATGAGGTTGGCTACCAGAAAAGTCTCAAAGCGACACTGGACATTCCTCAGATCCCCGGGGGGCCGACGGACAGAGTGGAGGACTCTGACTCTGAGGTCAGCGAGTTCTTCGACAGCTTTGACCAGTTTGACGACCTAGACGAGCTGAGCTCAGAGAGCTGTACACTCACCCTGCCTTTAGACCCGACTTCCTCTGTTACCATTACCGGCCCAGACCAGAAGAAGAAGTACTCTGGTACTGGCAAGTCAGGGTCCAAGAAAGTGTCCCGAAGCTGTTCCACCATGAACCCCCACCGGTTCGACCATCGCAGCCTCCCTGCGAATGTGAAGAAACCCACCCCGCTCAGAAGCCCCCTCCCCCCCAGCTCTCCATATGGATCCCCTGACTCCCCCCGGCCGGCCCGGACCTCCTGTGAGGAGAGTGGAGGTCCTCTGTTCAGCTCCTCAGCCTTCAGCCCTCTGGGAGATGGAGCTCTGGATTACTTCTGGAAGACCGAGGGAGATGGAGGAGACGAGTCAGAGCTAAAGAAACCCCAGGACCTGTGTTCCCTCTACAAGACTTACTCAGACTTTGCCAGCAGTCTGTCCAAGGAGATCCTGGGCTCCGTGTGTGGCTACCAGTCTCCTGTGGACATCAACGACAACAAGAACCTGAGCTGTGTCTGTCACAAGGAGTTCCAGAACCAGTCTGGACACATCATGAAGCTGTCTGAGATCCAGGAGACGGTGACTGTCTCCAAGCTGCAGCAGCAGCCCCAGTCTCTGAAGGACGGCATCCAGAGGTTTGCCACAGACTTGGTAGAGATGAGTCTGGGCAGCGCTCTGAGAGACCTGCAGAAGGGAGTGTCCTCTTGCACCACCACCCTCTGCCACCTGGCCGCCAAACTCACCACTTCCGTCTTTCAGATGGCCTTCCAGGAGATCGGAATGCGCCGCGCCTACGTCCTGAAGGAACGGGCCATCAACGGGCTGGCTGGGTTCCTGGTGGGAGAAGCAGTGTCGGGCGCTCTGAAGGACTTCCTCACGGTGAAGAAGCAGATGTTCAACAGCACCGTGACTGAGTTCGCCGCTGACCTGGCGGAGGAGCTGGTGTATGAGGGGATGATGGAAGTGTGTCAGTTCTCTCACCCCTCCACCCCCCTCACCCCCAGTGACCGGTCCTTCGGCGTGGGGGAGGAGGACGATGAGGAGGTGGTGTCCTCCTATGCCTCAGACCTCTCTGAGTCTGTCCTCCAGGAGGCCTTCATCGAACTGTCCCAGGCTGACGTGGCCTTCACCACCCAGGCAGCCATCAGTGTCTCTCTGGACAACATATTCTACGTCAGCGCTGACGACACACACACTACCTGCAGTACTGCTGCCGACCACCAGGCTAACCCTGCCGAGGAAGGCCCAGGTCCGTCAGGGGACAATGGCTGTACTGTGAAGAAGGCTCTGTTCTGTGTGTCTGGGATGGCCAGCTGTGTACCTGTCCCCCAGGCAGGCCAGGCCATCTCCCTCTTCCACGACTCAGAGGAGATCTGTCAGTGTAAGACCAGCCTGGCCCATACCTCCCAGACCAGCCCCAAGAGGAGCTGCAGCTCAGAGAGCAGAATGGTGACCACAGCCTCCTCTGATTCTACTGCTGCCACACAGACTGACCTGCTGCCAAAGACCCCCTTTCACAACTTCTCTGGCAACATGGTGGATATGATAGTGAGTGAAGCGTGTGAGCTGATGACTGCCACAAAGATGAAGAAGAAGGTGGAGGACTGTGCTGACTTCCTTTCTAAAGCCATTGTTGGTCAGGGGACCTCCATCCGGACAGGAGGGTAGTGTCACTGACCAGACCTCCCTCTCCTCTCTCCACCCTCCTTCTCAGAACCCAGTGAGAGTGACCTGTGAGTCAGGCTCCAGGACCAGCAGAGCAGTCTCAGAAACCCGGCCTGTGATGATGAAGGACACTCTAGAGGTGCCATGGTTGGAGATGGACGGCCGGGAAGGCAGGAAGATGGCCCCTGGCGAGGAGATGGTTCCCAGCCCTGGTCGCAAGTCCAATGGGACCCCTGGTACGCCCCCCTCCACCCCCCAGCAGCCCAGCGAGGTGTCCCAGGAGAAGCAGATCAAGCAGTTCTCCAAGAAGCTGAAAGGCAAACTGGCCAAGGAGTTCTCTCCCGCCACCCCTCCTCCCACCCCCCACTACCAGCCAGGGCCTGAGCCCAAAGAGTCTCCCTCTGAGATGGACAAGGCTGACTTCATGCTCAAACTGATGAGGTCTCTGTCTGAGGAGGCAGACGGGAACGAGGAAGAGGAGGAAGAGGGTGGAGTAGAAGGGCTTAACTCTGGAACCGAGACAGGAAACCGTCCGCAGCCAGAACTCAACCTCTTGTTTGGAGGACACAAGATGGCCGACAAGGGAGCCCTCCATTACGCAGAGCGCCTGGCGTGCCACATCGTCTCCATGGCGACAGAGATGGACACCCTGGGAGGAGTGGAGGATGGAGGTAGGAGGACGGTGGAGGAGAGGAGAGACAGCGTGGCCCAGTTCTCGGAGCAGACCCTGAACACGCTGTGGATCTACGCTGGTGAGGTAGCGGGAGAGGTGATCAGCGACGTGAAGAGGTTGATGGGGTCAGGAAAGTGTCGTCACAGAGCAGTCAAACGAGCCAGCCAGGACTGGTCAGGGGAATGCCCTCACCACCACAACCAACCCCAGCCCAGTGAACACAGCAGGGGCTGCAGGGTGGGTCGTCTGGCTGAACAGTGGTCTGGTGACCTCCTCTCCTCTGTCCTCCACCCATCAACTTCCACCTCTACCCCCAGCTCTGGCCTGTCCTCTGACTACCCCAGCTGTGAAAGTGTGACAGATGAGTACGCTGGCTACCTCATCAGGGTGTTGAAGAAAGAGGGAGGCAGCAGAGAGCTGGTCCTGGATCAGTATGCCAGCCGTCTGGCCTACCGCTCCATCAAACTGGGCCTGGCCCATGCTGCCCGCAACATGAAGAAGAGACCCTCCTCCTCCTCTAGGCACCACTCCTCCAGGAGGCTCCACCAGGATGGCTGCAGGGGGCCCAACGCTGAGCCGTCTGTACCCAGGGACGAAGCAGGGAGAGTGGGATCTCCTTCCAGCGACTCTGATGATGGGAGCCAGAGGGAGTACATGGAGCTGGTGAACTTCGCAGAGTCGTTGGCGTACAACATCACCTGTGACGTCACACGCAAACTCTGTGTGTCGTCGGTCAGACTACCCAAGTCCCTGACTGACTCGTGTCTGTATAAGAAATTCAAGCTGGAGGAAATGGCAGGGAACCTGATCAGGAACTCCTTTTCATGCCCCCTGCTGGCGAAGGAGGGAAAGAGCAGGCAGTACCAAAGCACAGGCAGCCTGTACGACGGAGGCTGCAGCAGTGGAGTCATGCAGGTCAGTTTGGTTTAGTTCATATTTTTATTTGAGTAGAGAAAGATACTGTTAAAACATGTACACATTCAATTAACAAGAGTCTGATTCATGTTATCATCATTTCATTGTAGCATCAGACTTCAGCTTGCTCCAATTCCCAGTGTTTGTCTCTGCAGGTCATGGAGCACTATGCCAGGAAGATAGTGGACGACACGCTGGAGATGGGCCTGGCCTCGGCCGGACACCCAGCCCAGCAGGGTCCAGACAGACACTCCCTCTCTGAGAGGCCGTCTGAGGGGGGAGCAGTGGGCTCTGCACTGGGGGAGACAACCTGCCGATACTGCCAGGTCAGGAAGTGTCACAGACATTGTTTTCTATGGATTACTTATGAGGCTCTAGCACCCACCCATTTTTGTAATATACAGTTATTGAGTATTCATGTTGTTTGTTATTACAGGTCAGTGAGTGTCCGTTCTGCTCGCGGCCTAGCAGGCAGCACCACCTTGGGGCAGGAGCAGGCCAGAGGAGGAGGCCGGACGGGGAGGTGGGGGTGTGTGGCCTGGAGATCCCTGAGATCCACATCGATCTGGACCGCAGGGCAGTGTTCGCAGAGGAGATCGTCACTACGGCAATGGAGGGGGCGAAACGAGAGCTGAGCAACACCAGCCTGAACGCAGACAGCGGGATCGGACACGACGGGCCCAGCTTTGCCGAGAGTCTGACCGCAGAGATCATGACGTCCGTGCTGTCCAACGCATGCCAGACCGGCAACCTCAGGTACAAATACATTATGACAAAGTCTGTGTAAGACACGACACCACCACTCTGTGACTAGCCGTAATGTTGTGGAGAGCAACCACATGATGAGTCAAGCCCCATAAGATTCCAAGACTGTTCACATGGATTTCCTTATGGTTAACCCTGATGCTTAGTAATATGTAAGGGTTTGACAAATTATTGTGACGCACCATCTAATTGAAGAGTCCATCATTTTCACAATTTTGTACTTGACCAGATTACACAACAATAGTAAAGGAGTCAAGAAGAGGTCCACCATCTTGATTACTAACTATATTTCTCTCAGTCCCTAATGTTGGTAGTATTATGAACTGTATCTCTCTGTAGAAAGATTATATATCTGTATCTTTATTCATGTGTCTGGGTTCCCTTTCTCCATGTCCCTGTGGTAGCTCTCCAGGCAGGGAGGCCACAGAGTCCACGGTGTCCCAGCAGCTCAGTCTGAGTGTGGGAGACGACAGTCTGGGCAGCTGGTCCAACCTCAGCTTTGAGGATGAACACCCTGACGAGACCAGTAGCTTCCTGCACCTCAGCGACAGGTAGGGAACACACAGAACATCATGTAGTATCAAACTAATCTGCTCTGTTCTATTAGTTTCTCTGAAGGCTACATTAGATAGATCTAGTCTAGATTAGTTGACTAATGATTCTCCTCTTGAAACACTTCTTTCATGTCTTTGAGCACTGTTTTCTGTTTCACACTCTCTCACACAAGCGAATGACTCTAACCCATGCTCAATGTCCACAGATGGATTGATATATAAGTGAGTAGAGCTTTAGACCATGGTTGTGGCATTCAGCCTTTAAATGAATGCTGAAACTAATGAAGGCAAGTCAGTCATCACCGCTTTGGCTACACTGCCAATGAGAAATATATGTATTTTTCAATCAAGAGGTCAAATGGCGTTTCCCATGTCGTTTTAAGATGACTGTGGTGATTGATGATTAGCTGGTTTGATGCTGTGAGACTGAGTTGAAATCAGTACAAGACGGGTTTCTCCATGTTCTCTGTCAGATGGCTGCTGGATGACGTGAGGTCACCTTAGGTCACGACCAGCAGAATGTGTAGTTTGGAAACCTCTAGGACCCTCTGTTGCCAAGAAACAATTATCTCTGATTTGAGCAAATATTACATTACATATAGTCTCTCCTTGTGCCAATGTTGTTCTAGAATTTAAATTGCCGTTTTAATGCCAAGTTCTGCTGAGATTGTTTGAGTTAGTGCATCATAAGGATAAAATATAACTTTTAAGAGATACATGGCTTTTCCTTTCTGATAGAAACACACACACAGATACTGGTCTGTTAGTGAATCTAGTGTAATGCTCTGAGAGTGACGTGGTCTCACCCAGTCTCTAGTCTCAGGGTGGGAGGATAGTTGTTGATGTTCCCTGGCTCAGCCTGATATCTCTATGGAAGCAGACCCAGTCAACATGTACACTTCTCCCCAGATACTGAATGGGAGAATGTGTGAGGAGAACAACTAGTTATTTTGAAGGTATCATAATATTTTCTAAAGGTGTGTCTGTAGCAGCCTTTCTCTCTCTGCCCCAGGCCGTTTCCACAGGAACAAAGTCCCTCTACCATTTGTAATTCATTAGCCTGTCTCCTTTCAAAATACTTTTCCAACTGTCAACAAATAAACTAGATAACTCAGGAAAGGAAAGGCTCCATTGTAAAGGTTTTCAAACCCTGGAAGAACTGATTGACTTCTTAACGACCTCTCACCATACCACTCTCATAAACCACAGCTGCGGAGACCCATTCATTAACTAATTGATATTGGTGGAGCTATTTTTAGGTCTCCACATCATTCTTTACATACCAGAGTGCACAGTGTGCAGGTTCTAGCCAGCCTGATAATCAGGGCCAATTTAACAAAACAAAAAAATACATACAGTGCATTCGGAAAGTATTCAGACCCCTTGACCTTTTTCACATGTTGTTACGTTACAGCCTTATTCTAAAATTGATTAAATAAATAAAAATCCTCATCAATCTACACACAATACCCCACAATGACGAAGTGAAAACAGTTTTTTTTGTGTGTGTGTGCAAATTTATTGAAAATAAAATACAGAAATATCTAATTTACATAAGTATTCCCACCCCTGAGTCAATACATGTTAAATCACCTTTGGCAGTGATCACAGCTGTGAGTATTTCTGGGTAAGTATGTAAGAGCTTTGCTCACCTGGATTGTACAATATTTGCACATTATTATTTTTAAATTTCTTCAAGCTCTGTCAAGTTAGTTGTTGATCATTGCTAGACAGACATTGTCAAGTCTTGCCATATATTTTCAAGCCGATTTAAGTGAAAACTGTAACCAGGCCACTCAGGAACATTGAATTTTGTTTTGGTAAGCAACTCCAGTATATATAAAAAACAGAAATGTATTTACATTAGTATTCAGACTCTTTGCTATGAGACCTTTTGCTCAGGTGCATGCATCCTGTTTCCATTGCTCATCCTTGAGATGTTTCTACAACTTGATTGGAGTACACCTGTGGTAAATTCAATTGATTGGACATGATTTGGAAAGGCACACACCTGTCTATATAAGGTCTCACAGTTGACAGTGGATGTCAGAGCAAAAACCAAGCCATGAGGTCAAAGGAATTGTCCATAGAGCTCCGAGACAGGATTGTGTCGAGGCACAGATCTGGGGAATGGTACCAAAAAAATGTCTGCAGTATTGAAGGTCCCCAAGAACACAGTGGCCTCCATCATTCTTAAATGGAAGAAGTTTGGAACCACCAAGACTCTTCCTAGAGCTGGCCGCCTGGCCAAACTGAGCAATCGGGGGAGAAGGGCCTTGGTCAGGGAGGTGACCAAGAACCCGATGGTCACTCTGGCAGAGCTCCAGAGTTCCTCTGTGGTGATGGGAGAACATTCCAGAAGACCAACCATCTCTTCAGCACTCCACCAAATCAGGCCTTTATTGTAGAGTGGCCAGACGGAAGCCACTTCTCAGTAAAAGGCACATGACAGCCTGCTTGGAGTTTTCCAAAAGGCACCTAAAGGAGAGAAACAAGATTATCTGCTCTGATGAAACCAAGATTGAACTCTTTGGCCTGAATACTTATGTAAATGTTCTATTTCCATTTGTTATTTGTAATACATTTGCAAAAATGTCTAAAAACCTGTTTTTGCTTTGTCATTATGGGGTATTGTGTATAGACTGAAGGAAAAAACAATTTAATCTATTTTAGAATAAGGCTGTAACGTAACAAAATGTGGAAAAAGTCAAGTGGTCTGAATACCTTCCGAATGCACTGTATATTGTCGGATAGGTGCAGTGATGGCGCCGGAGGGGATGGCTTAAAGTGGTCCTATGGACAGATACACCAATCTTCGCTGTGGAGCTTTGCAGCTCCTTCAGGGTAATCTTTGGTCTCTTTGTTGCCTCTCTGATTAATGCCCTCCTTGCCTGGTCTGTGAGTTTTGGTGGGCGGCCCTCTCTTGGCAGGTTTGTTGTGGTGCTATATTCTTTCAATTTTTTAATAATGGTGCTCCGTGGGATGTTCAAAGTTTCGGATATTGTTTTATAACCCAACCCTGATCTGTACTTCTCCACAACTTTGTCCTTGACCTGTTTGGAGAGCTCTTTGGTCTTCATGGTGCCGCTTGCTTGGTGGTGCCCCTTGCTTTGTGGTGTTGCAGACTCTGGGGCCTTTCAGAACAGGTGTATATACACTGAGATCATGTGACAGATCATGTGACACTTAGATTGCACACAGGTGGACTTTATTTAACTAATTATGTGACTTCTGAAGGTAATTGGTTGCACCAGATCTTATTTAGGGGCTTCATAGCAAAGGTGGTGAATACATATGCACGCACCACCTTTCCGTTATCTATTTTTTAGAATGTTTTGAAACAAGTTATTTTTTAAATTTCACTTCACCAATTTGGACTATTTTGTGTATGTCCATTACATGAAATCCAAATAAAAATCAATTTAAATTACAGGTTGTAATGCAACAAAATAGGAAAAACGCCAAGGGGGCTGAATACTTTTGCAAGGCACTGTACCACCTCAGTCACCGGCTTCATCAATAAGTGCATCGACGATGTCGTCCCCACAGTGACCGTACATACAGTGGGGAGACCAAGTATTTGATACACTGCCGATTTTGCACGTTTTCCTACTTACAAAGCATGTAGAGGGCTGTACTTTTGATCATAGGTACACTTCAACTGTGAGAGACGGAATAACAAAAATCCAGAAAATCACATTGTATGATTTTTAAGTAATTAATTTGCATTTTATTGCATGACATAAGTATTTGATACATCAGAAAAGCAGAACTTAATATTTGGTACAGAAACCTTTGTTTGCAATTACAGAGATCATATGTTTCCTGTAGGTCTTGACCAGGTTTGCACACACTGCAGCAGAGATTTTGGCCCACTCCTGCATACAGACCTACTCCAGATCCATCAGGTTTCGAGGCTGTCACTGGGCAATACGGACTTTCAGCTCCCTCCAAAGATTTTCTATTGGGTTCAGGTCTGGAGACTGGCTAGGCCACTCCAGGACCTTGAGATGCTTCTTACGGAGCCACTCCTTAGTTGCCCTGGCTGTGTGTTTCGGGTCGTTGTCATGCTGGAAGACCCAGCCACGACCCATCTTCAATGCTCTTACTGAGGGAAGGAGGTTGTTGGCCAAGATCTCGAGATACATGGCCCCATCCATCCTCCCCTAAATACGGTGCAGTTGTCCTGTCCCCTTTGCAGAAAAGCATCCCCAAAGAATGATGTTTCCACCTCCATGCTTCACGGTTTGGATGGTGTTCTTGGGGTTGTACTCATCCTTCTTCTTCCTCCAAACACAGCGAGTGGAGTTTAGACCAAAAAGCTCTATTTTTGTTTCATCAGACCACATGACCTTCTCCCATTCCTCCTCTGGATCATCCAGATGGTCATTGGCAAACTTCAGACGGGCCTGGACATGCGCTGGCTTGAGCAGGGGGACCTTGCGTGCGCTGCAGGATTTTAATCCATGACGGCATAGTGTGTTACTAATGGTTTTCTTTGAGACTGTGGTCCCAGCTCTCTTCAGGTCATTGACCAGATCCTGCCGTGTAGTTCTGGGCTGATCCCTCACCTTCCTCATGATCATTGATGCCCTACGAGGTGAGATCTTGCATGGAGCCCCAGACCGAGGGTGATTGACCGTCATCTTGAACTTTTTCAATTTTCTAATAATTGCGCCAACAGTTGTTGCCTTCTCACCAAGCTGCTTGCCTATTGTCCTGTAACCCATCCCAGCCTTGTGCAGGTCTACAATTTTATCCCTGATGTCCTTACACAGCTCTCTGGTCTTGGCCATTGTGGAGAGGTTGGAGTCTGTTTGATTGAGTGTGTGGACAGGTGTCTTTTATACAGGTAACGAGTTCAAACAGGTGCAGATAATACAGGTAATGAGTGGAGAACAGGAGGGCTTCTTAAAGAAAAACTAACAGGTCTGTGAGAGCCTGAATTCTTACTGGTTGGTAGGTGATCAAATACCTATGTCATGCAATAAAATG